CCCCCCTCATTTCCACATACCACAAGCTTCTAGCTCTGCCTTCTCTCTAAAACTTCTCTCTAGAATCCCTCCGACGCATTTCCGGAGTTTCTGAGTGTCTTTGAGAGCATTTTTCGGCGTTTAGAAGAGTTTCAGACGTCTTGTAGAGTGAAGGGCTGCCAAAAAGCACCCTCTTTTCAAAGAAATATAAAAACAAAGCTTGCTTCGGAGGTTTAATTTCTCCCTCTCTACTTTTATTGCTTTAATTTAAATTATGCAATAGATTAGGGCCATGTAGTCGTAACTTCAAATTCCGCACAATAAAAAGGGCAAAAGAGTATTTTCCGGTTTATTTATTAACATAAAAAGTTGGCCTATCATAGGGAACCCGAAAGGGGCGTAGTAAAGGAACTAATACTTCCTTTACCACGTAACTAACTCCCTTACCCAACTCTGGTTCTAATGACCAAAGTTGGTTTTCGAAAACCAACGCCTTTTAAAAACCTTTTCCGATGTTTCCGGTAAAAACGTCGGTGGCGACTCCACAGAACCCAAAAACAAGTCCTTGGGTTAGCCCGGTTATCGGACAACCCAAGGACACCTTTCGAAAACCTCGCCCCTAGGTTAAGCCCGATTATCGGACAGCCTAAAGGCGTTGTAACCACCTATAAAAAACGCAAAAAACAAAAGGGTCGAAAAAACCATCGCGTCGCTCCGACCGCCTTCTTTCAGACGGCGACGACAGTGGTTCTTCCCTTATCCCAACCCTCATCACTAATAACTCCATCCTTTGCCTATACTCCTTTATTGTCATATTTTTTTGTTGGAGTCATTGGAGCTTGTCCATCAACTCCCTATCATAGTAAGATGGTACATGTCTCTTCATAAGGGCACTTCAGTGTTCATTCCAATACCTAACTTGGGGTGAATTGTGTATTCTCCTATCTCATACTAGGGAAGTCCACCAATACATAGCATGCCCTTGAAAGCTAAGGGTTATCATGGGCACCCTTCTTTCCTCATGTATTTTGTGACACTCAAATAATTGTTCAACTTTTATCTCCCAATCCAGATATTCTTTCACATTGTCTTACCATGAAAGGGAGGCAGGCTGACCTTAGGTTCCGTAGGAGGTTCCATCCTAAGTCTATGACGCCTAGGTGGAGATGGTTGATGGTAATCATCATAATGATGACAACTATAGTTTTCTAAATGGGAGTGGGGTTCTTCATGTTGTTCATTTCTACTCCTAGAACCCTCATTTTTATTTTTGTTTTTGTTTTTATCTTCTAGTAATTGGGCCAAAATAACCCTTATTTCTTCATTTTTTTTTATTTTTTCTTTTAATGACCAAAGCTTATCCCTAACCGAAACATGTTCCCTAGATCTATGGTAACTCCCACCCACACTATAATGACTTGATTGTGCATGAGAATGGTCACTCATTTTGTTCAAGAAAGTTTTTCACAAAGATTTAAGAAATTGTTTTTACAAAAATGAAGTGAAAAAAGTTTTCATAAAAGAAGTTTTCAAGTGTGTGTCGAACCCTAGGGTGAAAGTCCAATTGACACTTAATGAGCCTCTTGGGACACTTTCACAAGACTAAAGTGTGTAATATTACAATGTTTAAAGTGGGGGATGGGATTGTACCAAAGACATTTTCCCAAGACACCCAAGAAAAATTACAACAAGACAAATCCGTGACAAAAATTAACAAAGGAAATTAGCGACTAAAATTTGCTATAATAAGTCTTTTGTGATGGAAATGATTTGCGACTATTTGGTTTTGTGACGGATTTGGAAAACTTTCTATCACAACTTGAAGGCTCATTTTTGGTTTGTGTTTACACTCTTCTTGTGTCCGACTTTGGTTTCTAAGCTCCTTCAAAGACAACCTTCTCCTTTCTTCTTAACAACACCTAAGATGCTACCTTGAAGAAGAAGTGAGCTTCAAAGAGGTCAAGGGAAAAACACAATGGTTATCTTGTCTTAAGAGATTTGAGATGCAAATAATCAAAACACAAGAAAAGCTTACAAAGGAATGGACACAATCAAATGATTAGATTTATTGTTTGACAAAACTTAAGAAATCCAAAAATAGACAAGCAAGAAAAATTGGCAAATTTTAAAAGAAGGCATTCAAAAGAAGCCTTAGAATAGATCTACAATGGATTACAAAAATAAAAGACTCAAGTTGAATCACTTATAAGCTCAATTTAAGCTTGGCCGAATTATACATTCCCTTAGCCGCTTTTAATACATGCAATTTTTAATTCCACTATTCTCTTAAGGGGTGAGATACTTAATCAAGAGTTGCAAACATATCTTTCAAACTTTATTTTGACTAAGTCTCGACTTTTCTCTTTTAATTTCTTTTCTTTTCAACTTCACAATTTCATCGTTTTGTTCTTATGAGACTTGGCTTTTTTTTCACTAATTCAATTTCAATTCAAATTTCATGGTATTATTTTCACATAAGTTCGAATATTGTCGTGGCATATTATCAACAATTGATTCAACTTGAAAAATTCAAAAGAAGTCTAGACTAGTCTCGGTTTGTACAAGAATTTTTATGTTTAGAATTTTGTCAATGATGTAATAGCAAAAGAATACTCAAATGTACAAACCACACATACACATAATTGGTTTGGTTCCTAGCATAAACACGGTTTCAATTTTCTTCAGCAAAATTTTTGTTTTTCTAACACATGTGGGACAACTTCTATGGAATTATGAACATATAAGGACTAAACATGACTATCTAATACAACATGGAAGATTAAAACTTGAAAGCAAAGTAAACAAAATTCTATGGCTACTCATATAACATATTAAGAACTTCTTAAACATACAATTGATTCATGAAAGGAACTAAGCAATGAATCAATTACAAGAGAAATATTAAAGACGCAAAAACCGACTACATATGCCTCAAAAGACTCAAGCAAGTGCATACAAGACGGAAATTTAAAGACAAGAAAGAAGGAAAGATGAAGGTACTTATCTCTTGAAGACCTCCATGCCTAGCTCATGATACCAAATTGATGGAAATAATCTCCTCCTTCCACCAAAGAGATGCCCAAGTCCGCACCTCAAGCTCTCAAGTGACCGAAAATAGTTCCCCAAGTCTCAAAATAAGACTTAGCACTAGCTTCTCCAAGGAAGGTTCTTTCTTTAAGAGACAAGGAGAAGAAAATCTCCAAATGACACTTGAAGTCAAGCCAAAACGGGGTACAAGAAAAATTACAAGTTCCATACACTAAGCTTGGATTTTATTCAAATGTGTCAAAGAAGCTACACAAGAGGTTATATTTATAGTATTTCCCCTCTCATCCACTTCAAGTCTTTAGACATGTGGGACTTATTCTACTCTTATGTGAGGCGTCGAACATGGTCTCTAGAAGTCCGACATTCTTCTTTTCTATGCTTCCCTGAGAGTTTATATACCATATTGAACATAATGGGTTACAAGCACTTGTGTTGGTGCAACCTTGACCGTGAGCATGGTGCGGTCACCATGGTGGCTTGGCCGAGTGACTTTTGGCTACACCTTCTTGGATCGTGATAACTTCTCTTTTATGTTGTCTTCTTCTTCTAAGTTCCACATCGAACAAGAGATGGTTTCCTCAAGTGTTTATATACTCCAAAGCTTCTTTGAGGTGCATCCACTACAAGAAAATCATTAATTACCGATGGATATTTACCGACAGATATGTAGCCATCGAAAAATGAATGATTACCGACGAAAATTACCGACGAATTTAAAGTAGTTGCAGAATTTGGTCTTACCGACGAATATATTCGTTGGTAAATTCGTTGATAAATTAACAATTATTTACCAACGGATATATCCATCGATAAATTCGATCAAGTAAATTAACAATTTGTTATCGACGAATATATTCGTCGTTAAATCCGTCGATAAATTAACAATTAATTACTTGACTGAATATATCCGTTGGTAAAATTATATAATAATTACTTAATTTTAAATATATTCTAATAATTATTCACCTAATTAAAAAATTAAATACTTTTTTTATTTAATAATTTAATTTAATCATAATTAAAATAATTTATAATAATTTGTTAAATTAAATAATTTTAAAAAATAAATATTTAATTATTTTTAATATTGAAAAAATTATTTTAATATAAGAATTTTAATTAAATAATAGAAGAAAAAAAGATAAAAGAATAAATTAAAATAAAATAAAAAAATAAAGAAAAAAAAATATTTTGTATCATTAACACACTTTAGGGGAAGAGGGAGTGTGAGAATATTGAGACCTGTTCACAAATTTGGTATCAAATTTTGAAAACTCACTCGACACACTTTCATCCTCAAGTGCGCCCTCACATCTAACATATAAATATATAAAAATATTTATATATAAGTATATTAATATAAAAATATATTAATATATAAATATATTTGTATTTATATATTTTATATTTATATATTTACATTGATATACATTTATTTGTATATAAATATAATATATTTGTAAATTTTTATTAGAAAATTTTAGTAGCTTAGTGGTTGGAGTATCAGCCTCCAACTCTAACATCCTGGGTTTGAATTCTGTCAGTGACAATTTTCTTAACCTGATAATAATTCAAACTATTAAAAATATATAGGAGTTTAAACTAAAAATGTCATGGGCAATTACCGACGAACAGACATAATTCGTCAGTAAATTTGACCGACAACACAATTACCAATGGATTGTGCTCCATGGGCTTGGTGTGCATCTTTGGGACGCTATAAAAGGAAGAGAAAGATTTATTCAATACAAGTTTATTTTGAGGTGTTCAAATTAAACTCCATAAGAGGATTATTTGTGGTGCCACCTCATTCTCCAATATCCTTCGGGCCATGGCCCTAGTGATAGGCCCAATATGTCTTTGTGGTCCTCCATCAGATAATATTTAAAAGGTTGCACAAAATTTTGAAAACTTTAAAAATTGTCTAGTTGTTAGAATAAATTTAACTTAGGGTGGCACAGAAAGAGAAAAACATGTTCCACTCAAATTGTGAACAAGACATGAGAATGTTTATGTCCTTGAATAGGTACTCGTACACGATGGTAAAGTCTTCACCATTAAAATTTGGTATCATATACATATAATCACTAGTCGAGTAAGCCTTACGGAGAACGAATTTGACATTTGCACCGTAAAAAATAATGAGAGATAAGCCAAAGTCTTCCATGGACGAAGTCAAGATGAAATCAAAAGAATAATAATTCACCTTGTTCTTTAGTGGTAATGAAGATTCAATATAAGAATAAATTTGTCCTTCTTACCAAAGTTGTCAAAATCGTGATTATGAGTAGAATCGCAAAGGGTCCACAAAATCATAAATCATGGGATCATAATAAATATAGTAGATCTACTTTTATATAATATAAAATATATATTAATATATTGATAAAATAAATAACAAATCACATTTCAAAATACACATATTTTTATCATAAAATAGAAAAAATAAACCATATCATGACTAAGTTTTCCTTAAGTATAAATCTTGATGGTTAAAGTCTAAATAATAAATATCTAATATAAATGTTTTAAATTTAAAGCAAAACTCAGGGGATCTTCTTTAGTAGCTCCATGGTGATCCTCTAAAGATGGGATGACAAAATCATTCATCTCTTGCTCTTCATTTAGGATTTGACCTTATTCATCATCTCTATTTAAATTTGGAGCATCATTGAAACCTACATTTTCATCATCCTCTTCATCATTTTCCATAATCCAATCATCATAAGATGAAACATCATCAAGTTTACACATTTCAGGTAATCTTCTTCTAGCTTCCTTCTTTTAAACCAATCTTGAATTAACCATGACATAAACAACATCATTCATAGTTTCTTGTTTCAAATGATTTCTTCTCTTTGTATGAACCTAATAAATATAAATGCAAATATACATAAGTAATTATTAATTTACTATTTTAATTTAAATTTAATAATTTTTAAAATCTTACCATCTCAAATGCACTCCAATTACATTCACATCCAGATGAACGACATGTCAAACTAAGCACGCGAATGACAAATCTTTGAAGTTCTAGATGTTGATCGCCATAATATTCCCACCAAGCTATTGGAGTCGTTTTGCTAATTGCCTTAATGGACAAAGAATTTCCAAAAAACTTTTCTTTGTTCTTGAAATCTTCAAGTTGCAAATCAATCAAATGTTGCTCATCAGGATTAGCCACCATCTTTTGAATGCATTGTAATAGGCCAATTTTAACTTTTGTATCAACTTTAAAATTAGGAGAATAATGAAATTTAAGATTCAAATTTGCAGCATGTAAAGGCCTATGGAGCTAGTTGTCCCATCTTTTATCAATAATATTCCATAAATCTTCATCACTAAAAATTGAAAAAAATTAATTGAATTAGTGTTTTGTTTCAGTTATTTAAAACATAAAAATCTAAAGTTGAAATTTTAATTTGAAAATTAGTAAAGTACCTTTTCTTATCACCATTAAACTCTTTTTGTATCTTTTCTTTGTCCCTGATATGGAAACATGCAATTTAAATAGAGAATTAAAAGAGAGAAGTGGAAGCATAAAGAGAAAGCTAAGCAATTATACAATTAAAGGAAGAAATTGATAAAATGGAAGAGAAGAGAAAAATGAAACTTATGGAAGGTGTTCACACCACTTGGGAGAAGCTCCAAGATAAGTGAAGGATGGTGATCACCACTTGCTTCATGACAAGATAAGATCACAAAATTTCAACTAAAAGATAATCTCTATCTCAAGAGCTTGTAAAATGCAAAAACTAATTCTCATTCAATTTCAAGTGTGAGCATACAAGAGGAGTAGGAACTTTATTTATAGGCTTGGGAGCACAAGTAGTGGGCATGAGCTAGGAAATGTGGGACTTTGGAGCAACCAAGGGAGACACATCTCCTCACTACTTGTTCTCCTAAGTGTTTATAAGCCCAAAAAACACTAAAACAACAAAAACTAATCTAAAGTGAACTAAAATAAGCTAGAACATATAAATGGGCCAAGAATACAAGCCCAAATTGTAACATACTAGATTTTGCAACTAATTATATAAATAAATTATAAATATGTACTGAATATTATGTAGAGTTATTATAAAACAAGATTTTTGTTGATAGTAATTTTATCTTAAGAAAATTATAAAATAAAATCCAAGGTTAATATTGTGTCAAATAATAATTTATTTATAATCCTTAAAAAAACGATGAAAAGAGAGAAATACAAGTCGGGAACCATGGATTTGAATTAAGTCGGTGAAATAAGGCAGTGGAGAATATATTAAAGAAAATTAGAGAAGAAGTATAAGTTGGTAAGTTAAGTGTATAAATAGGAAGAAATCTGAAACTTACATCAACACACAATTCACACAACTTGAAGAATAAACAGAGAGGCATCAAAATTCTGAGAAGAAGAATTCGAGAAAGGAAGAAAGGGAGAGCATAAGAAATTAGGAGAGTGATAAGATTTTGAAGGAATCAAGTATGAGTTAGATGTTTAATTTTATCATACGAATGTCTGATTTTGAAGATAATTGCTTCCTGTTTTGCAAAGTTTGAAATGTTGATGAAATTCTTGAAATTAAGGATGAATTACACGATAAAGTTGTTGTTTTTGAATCAAATAGCATAGGTTTCATGTTTAATTTGAGTTTGGAATTAGTTTGATTGATTGATACGTGAGAATTTGAAATCTAGAGAAACTAAATTTGGTTATTGGGCGAAGATTGAAGAAAAGGGATATGATGGGAATTTTTGAAATTAAGGATAAATTATATATTAAAATTGTTGTTTTTAACTTAAGATGAATATGTTTAGGATTTAATTTGGATTTGGAACTAGTTTGGTTGTCTGAAACTGAAAAATTTGGAATCTGGAATGTTGGAAATGGCGTACTGGAAGTGAGGAAGAAGAAAGGGACAAGGTGGGAATTTTTGAAAAAGATCAAGGACAAAATAGTCATTTCACATCTTAGGGACATAAATGGAATTTTGAAAAAGATTAAGGGTATAATGGTAATTTAATAGTGATTTAAGACATGGATGGAATAATAGGAAATGTTCAAGGGGAAAATAGTCATTTTCAGGACATGGATGGAATAATAGGAAATGTTCAAGGGTAAAATAGTCATTTCTAGGACATAGATGGAATAATAGGAAATGTTCAAGGGTAAAATGGTCATTTTACAACCTAGGGACATAAATGAAATTTTGAAAAAGGTTAAGGGTATATTCGAGATAAAGCCAAACAGTATATTACCACCTCTTTGTTTACTAGGAAAACAACTCAGTAAATGTTCGAATTTGAGGATAATGCCTTCATCGAAGTTATAGGTTATTGTCTTGTCTTTCCAGCACAATTGGAATCATCATAAAAGAAGGTCTAGAACTCAAGATATGGACAAAACACTGAACCCTACGAAATAGATTATTAATAAAAATTGTCTTTCTTAAAACAACTATGAATTGTAATTGAAATTTTGAATATATGAATGAGATGTTTCTAAGTAATTAATTGATGATAGGTTGTTTTGTTTCATACAAGACATAAACATAGTGCATGAAATTTTTTCTGAAAGTCATAGTAAAGTTTTTATAGAAAAGCATTTGGAAATTTCTATTAAATTGCTACCAAGGACGGTTGGTAGTAATAATGATGTGCAAAACAAAATTTTGGAAATATTTTTGTGAGTCATTTTCTTGAAAATTTACTATCAAGAGCATCTAGTAGCGGAATATGACTACAAAAATGGTCGGCCAAATCAGATAGAGAATGTATGAGAATGAATGATATAGAATCGAGCTACCAATATCTCTGATAGTAAATGGGGGAGTAGAATAGGTAAGATAGGACTTCTGGTCTATGAGGTTGGACCTCTGGTCTAGGGAGTGTTTGGGCATGAGCATTCCCATAAGTGGCCAGTCTTTATTTGATTTTGTGTCATGGTAGTCTATCGGGTGCACTGACACTCTGACTACTATCTACTTGTTTGCGTTTAGTGGGGCATTATTGAATCACCGGACATGGTAATGTTAAGCTCTGGTTCCACTAGACACTCATATGAGTCTCCATGGAGCTCTGAGTCAAAAATGATTTTTTAGATTTTGAGTCAAAAGCATGATTTTCATGTTTTACGTTTTGAGTCACATGTGCATATCATAAACATATTGTATGATGAAATTGTAGATTATTCATGATTTGTATGATATTCTTTATTATGTTTCCATGATTGATTTATTTGTTTCTCATAATTAATTTTCGAATTAAATTATATATGGTTATATATTTATATGTAGTTATGAACTTATTATGAAGGAATGTTTTGTTAGAATCGCGCAGCAGAATGTTTACGTTTACGGACAAAAACCAAGAGGGGGGGGTGAATTGGTTTCTTAAACAAAAATTAGGGTTTTAAAAATTTTCCCCAAATTTCACCGATTAAAATACTGTGTAATCACTCAAACAGTTGATTTATACTGGTTCGGATCAAAAGACCCTACGTCCAGTTGCTAATCACTCAAACAGAGGATTAATGTTGTCACTATAATCACAATTTACAAACAGATTACAAATTAAAAAGATAAGGTAAAGAAAACACCACTCTTGAGTCACACAAGAGATGAACACCTCCTTTGAATCCACAAAGGATGAAGAACAACTTTTCCTAGAGACGGCACAACACACAATCCACCAAGAAACCCACTCAGTGATTCTTATCGCTTCTAGCCCACACTAGGTTTTCAAAAAGCCCCTTTTTCTTACCTACAGAAGTTCTCTAGCAGTCACAACTCTTAACTTTTGTATGAAAAAGATTTGTTCAATTTGCAGAGAGCCTTAGAGAAACTTAAGTAGAGAGAATAGGGTCTGGGAATTGGGGATTTTCGAAAACAGATGAATTGGGAATAGGATTTTCAAAACTTGATACAAATTTGAATTTCAAAACACATAACAGACGCAAATAATCGATTATCTTGAGTGATAATCGATTATTCCAGAGCCATATTTGTAGGGGAACAAAACTGGGTCAGGATAATCGATTATCTGGCCAAATAATCGATTATCAACCTGTGATAATCGATTATCCTGAGTGATATTCGATTATCACAGAGAGGATTTCCTGAAAATGATTTTCTTGCTGTAATAAAGGATGGTTAATGTGTTGGCTATCTTGGACTCTAATATTAC